AACACAAACAGATCTGATAAAACAGAGTTAGCAGTGGAATTTATAAGCGAACATGTTCCCAGGTGTTTCCTATTGATTGAACAAGTTTAGGTAAAAAGGAGAGGAACCTCACCCGTAGGAATGCAGATCTACAGTATATACATACAGACATATGTATACTGTATTTAGTGCTCAGAACTGATTATTAGATACACATTACTTCATAGAATAGAATCACAGAAAGGTTTGAGTTGGAAAGGACCTTAAAGACCATCCAGTTCCAACCCCCCTGCCATAGGCAGGGACACCTCTCACCAGAGCAGGCTGCCCAAAGCCCCATCCCTCAGCCTGTCTTCATAGCAGAGTTGCTTCAGCCCCTTGATCATCTCTGTGGCCCTCTGGACTTGCTCCAACAGGTCCGTACCCTTCTTGTGCTGAATGATCTACTCCATTTGGGGTCTCATAAGAGCAGAGTAGAGGGGGAGAATCACCTCCCTCAACCTGAAGGCCACTCTGCTTTTGATGCAGCCCACGATATGGCTGGCTTTTTGCAAGTGCACGTTGCCAGCTCATGTTGACTTTTTCATCCACCAACACCCCCAAGTCCTCCTCAGGGCTGTTCCCAATCCATTCTCTGTCCATCCTGAATTCATGCCTGGGATTGCCCTGACACAGGTGCAGGACCTTGCACTTTTCAGCATCCTAAAATCCACATTAATTTCCCAGGGGACTGACATTGTTCTTTGTTGAAATGTGAATATCTGCAGGAGTTTGAGTCCCATGTCAAGCATCAGAAGCAGCATACACAGACTTAATCCATGACATTAAAACAAACTGAACTTACTGTTATTTGTGCAATATTTTCAAGCTGGTTGAAAAATTTCCAGCAAAACAGGACTTCTGGAGGTACTTTTTTCAGTTTGTCAAAACAGAAATATTTCTCAGACAGATGGGTTTCATCAAGCTTCAGACAAAACACTAAGAATCCCACCAGCTCACCTGTGCTGGAGCACATGGGCTCCCTGCACCTATGGCTGCAAAATGGTCCCACTGTATAGCCTGATCCTCTCTAGGGGACGTTGGCCACTCTGGCACTTGCCTTTTCCAGGCCCGCTTGTTCTGTGGAAATAGCAGGGCCATCCTCTCTGTCTTGTGAACCTGGAAACTACCTGTCACATTTTGCCTTCTAGTTGAGCAGTAGGAAACCCCAAACCTTTGAGAACTCAGCTTATGCCCAGGGTCTGGGCCACTCTGAGTCCTGCACACCTGGGAGACCCTGCTCTGGGCTTCTCAGGGCTTACTCTTGTATGAAGAGATAAAAAGGCAAAAGTTCTGGGAAAAGATCTGGGGGAACCTAAAAAACAGAGCCAGATTCAATGGGGAAAAAAAAAAAAGATGATTTCAAACCCTTTTACCATTTCATTTCCTACAGCAGAGGAGTTCTAATATGCATGCTAATATGGCATCATTTATCCCCCATAATTTGGGACCTTCCTGTGGAACTTGACTACCTCTACCAAAAGCTACCATACTCGTATTGCATGAAGACTGAGATGTTTGCACTTTGTGGTATTTATTTATCTGATGCATTAAACCATGTGACTAACTGTAAAGAACTTGAGGCAAATTAAGCAACTGTTACAGCTACGTAAGTGATACCCTGGAGAGCCCCTGTGAAGATAGGCATGAGCCCATACCCAGGCCATACTCCCACTGATGAGAAGGATCCAATTTTAGCAGCGTGCTTGTCAGCTCTAAGGCCCCTCAATGGAGCAACAAAACTTCTTTTGAAATGCCTCTGCAGTCACTGGGTGGTATCCACTTGTAGCTACAGAAGAAAAAAAACAACAAAAACCAACAACATGGGGAAGCAAGAAGAGACAGATGAAAGGAGGAAAGATCAGGGCAGTCCTTTCTCAACTCCCTTTGATGTAAAAGGGAGATGTTATAGTGTGGGTATCTGTACAGACAGAAAAAATAGGAACAGAAGACAAATAATAAGAAAACCATCAAAGTGTACAGAAAAATTAACTGTAGAGGCTGACTCTGATCTTTACTCTCCATCTCTTTTCATTAGCAGAACAGAACACCATTTAACTAGCAATATATTTTAGAAGGATGCCTTTTTTTTTGGTAACAGCTCAACCATTTTCACTCACTCTTGCGTGCCACTTCTTGGTAGCTGCATATATATCAATTACTTCTTCTCATCCAGGACAGATTCGTAACTTCCTAGTAAAAGTTTCAAGACTCTTAAGTAAATAGAAGGAGCACCATAACTGTGTCAGCCCCTTTTTCCCAATTAAATAGCTGAGGGTTACACAAGTACTGATTAGCCTATACTCATGCCCTGCAGGATAAAGAATCACTCTCATCGGGCTTTTCTGTGGAACACAGGCCAAAACTCATCTGAAAATTGCTATTCTTTACACAGTATCCAAATGAGAGAACTTCTTACCAGTGGGGAATCTGTTCATTAATATATAAACCCTAATTGAGGAGGAACAAATGACTTGATTGCCTGAGAAAGTAACTGAGCTGCCTCTCAAGTATGCAGCCATGCTGTGGTAGCTCAGTGGATTTCAGTGGGCAACAGTCAAGTAGTTCCTTCAATAAAGGCAGGAACCCTTTTATGACTTTCTAAAATAAGCATGTTGTAAGTGAAGCACTTCAGATCTCATTTATCAACAAGAAATATGGCCCCATCCTGGGCAAGTAAAAGCAAGATATAAATAAATTCATGCTGTCTCTTCTGATGGATACTAACCTGCTGCTGGCACGTTACTTAATTTATTTTAGACTCCTTTGAAAATTCAAGCCTTAAAATCACTTATAACCCCTTGCCCCTTCCAAAATCCCCTTTCTTTTCTTCTCAGCAGGACAAAGGCTGACTTTAGCAGGATGGGTGCTGTATGGTCCCTCCCTTCTCCCAGTGTCCAAGAACTGCCTCAGCCATGGTCTATGGCTTGGAAGTGTCCCTTTCTGTACCAACTGGGAGGTCTGCAGCAGCATCCAGCCACTGATGTGCAGCCCACTCAGCCTGCAGGCTCAGCTCCCCTCCCCGAGCAACCAAATGCTTTCTCTCTGTTCCCTGTGAAGAAGGTCGAGTGCTGTGGCAGTGGAAATTTCCTTGAACTTCAAATTGCTGTGAAGGGTTCTGCTGCCCTGGCTCTGCAGCAATGTTCTATCTACCAGCCTGGAAATGACTCTAGGAATATGTTTGTAATTAGCGTGTGACTTCGAGCATCAAAGACCACGATGTATACCTTTTTCTCTTCCCATCCATCTTGTCTAGTTTAACTAGCAATTTAAAGTTTCTCGGGGCAACAGCTGTCTTTCACTCTGCACAGATAGGTGCCTCACACAATGAGCCTTGATCTGTAAGATTAAAACACTAAGACAGCACAATCAGCAAGTCACGAGAACTGATCTAAGTACAAATAAGTACTGAAACATGAGACGGGAGCTGTTAGAAAACTCTGAGGTTTGTGTGTCCACCACACTGGTTAGCCAAAAATTAAAGGCCATTCTCTCCCAAAGGGCTGAGAAAGGAAAAAGGGAGGAGGGATAGTATTAGGGGAAAGTATTGTACCATTGCCCTGTTCTTATACTTTCCCAGGCATCTACTTATGGCCAGTGTTGCAGACATATTTGATTAGATTAACTTCTAGTCAGATGCAGGGCAGTGCTGGCAAAATGCTTCTCTGTTCTCATACTTCTTCACTTTCTTTTCAGTAGCTACAAATTAGAAAAAACTATTCAAACTTGGTTTCTTCTGTCTGTATAGCTGGGTTGTTAACCCTTGCTTTGAGCAAGATAGAACTGCAGAATGAATCAGGGCTGCTGATCTCCAACCAGAAGCAACACAAGCTCTACCAGTGTTGCATGTTTTATTTACTGTTTGGGCTCTTCTGGTCTATAAGGGCTGAAACTAGACATAACGCCTAGTGAAATATATTAAAAAAGAAAAAAAAAGAGAAAAAAAGAAAAAGGCACTTTACCTCATATTACCTCATATTGCAATGATCTTACTGTTAATTTTATCTACATGTCTCTTCATGTCTAGCTGCCAAGGAATGGCAGATCATGTATTGGTTTAAAAATAACAACGTACATTAAATAAGAAAAGAAATAATCAAAAGAATGAAAGAGTACAGAAAAGAATATTTAAACGGAGCAGCTGGTGATTGCTGTCTCTTCTCTCTTAATTTTAGGTACTTTCTTCTTCTACTCAATTGGTTTCCCTCTGCTTATGCACATGCTTCTACTTTTTCTAACATGACATGAAAATGAGGTGTTATTGCTTGACAAAGCAAGAAATTTTAAAAGTAATTTTCTTTTCTATACAATGAGTAATTACTGAGTTTCCCCCCTTTTAGTCAGGTATAATGTATTGCCCAGTGAATGTGTATTCAGTACTGTTGTTTGAACTACAATGTTACATGAATGAACTACACGAATAAATCTATCACTTACGCTGTTAGGACTTCAAGAAGATAATAATTTCATTCTGCTAAATTATCATACTGTTTATTATTCTATTATTTCTACTTTCCATTCTTAAACCCACAGGAGTGTAAATGAGTGTAAATGACCCCTGATGGGCCATGTGGTAGGTCAAAGGTGCCCATCTTGAACACAAAATCTTCACAAGGGACTGCAGTTCACATCTGAAACCTGCTGGCTCACAGCAGTTAGCTGTGAGTTTCAGCAGTTCACAAAGGTAACACAGCCTCTTCCTGTAGCAGCTGCGGCAGAGAGAAATAACAGATTGATGGTGAAGGGGAGGAGGAAAAATTGAGAACTTTTTTATGTCACTTGGGGCATGCTGTGCACTGGTGGGGCTGCCAGGAAGCTTAGTTCTGTACCTTCTGGACTGGTGGGGAGTCATCCATGTCAGGTGTCACAGAGCAAATCCAAGATCGGCCACAGCTGTGGCTAATTTAACACCATAATGAGTGAAGGATAAGCACTGGATGCTAGCAAACTGGAAATTCCTCCAGAGCAGGCAAACAGTTCTCGGTGGCCAAAAGCCAATGAAGCAGCTCAGCTCTATCGAGTCATAAAGCTTCTAGCATAAGGACAGCAGGAACAGGAACGTGTCTGTTCCTACATGCCAAAAAAACCCACAGGAGGAGGTAGGAAGCCCGATTCAGGCGGTAACTACAGAGCCAGTATAAATAACCAGTTTAGAAGCTGAGCTTTCTGTAACTTTTTAGTGACAGACATCGGGGAAATGACTGCTGTTTCTGTACCAGAACTACAGCTGATCTAGTTCATCATTCTGCTGCCAAGAACCTGCCTTTCAGGTATCTGAAAAAAAACTCCAGCAGTTTTTATATATATGTAATATATATATTATATATATATACATAATAATCTATTCTTATCCTCATATTAGGTCCCTTATTTCAAACACCCTGCTGTTATCTTCTGAATAAAGGAAGATGCTTAATCTTCTTTGTAATAAATCTATTGGAACTCATTACAGAATACTTGATATGTCAGGTTGTGTCTTCTCTAAACACAATTAAAAGGATGAGACACAAAATCTTGATATTTATCCATACTTTGTAGTTTCAGCAATCACTTCAGCAGCTCCCTTGAAATCATTAAAAAGCTAAGTAATGTTAATTTAAAATTTGCAAATTTTCCAACTGCTCCTCCTGTTAACTGTAACCCTTTTAATAACAAGGCCAAATCAACAACTTCCAAATTTTAAATTAAATAAAGACAGTCACTGGTATCTACATCTACTGAAAGTCAATGTGCTATTGAAGGAGAGGGCAAAAGATGCCATCAGATGTCAATGATAAACTCCACCAATATGGAGACCAGTAAGCTCTTGGGAGAATTCTAAGCAGTAAAGTTAACATGGCATGTTTGTGTGTTTTAAGGTTGAGTAACAGCTATTGCAAGGCAAAAAAAATATTATAATGCTTCTATCTTGACTGACAGGTGTAAAAACTTTCGGTAAGAATTCAGTTCATGTGCAGAATGGGGCCAACCAGTTGTAAATAGCTACAAGAGAGTTAAGAATTCTCATTATTTTCATGGATCAAGGTGCCGGCACTGTCCAGATCTCTATGCTTTTATTTACCTATCTGCATCTTTATACACCATCGTGCTTTTTAGAAAAGGCACTCCAGTAGTGCTTTTTAAATAAATGAGCATATTTCCATAACCCAAATATGTAACCATTTCCTTTATTTAGATGGAAATCTTTTTATGTTGTTGCAAGTTCTTGATTTCTTTTTTTTTTTTTTTTTTTTTTTTTTTTTAATATTATGGTAGTCAAGAAATCACCAGAATGCCTTTCTGCATATTTTTTAATGTTAGATATTCTTCTGTTTTCCATTTTTATCCCTTACAAAATTCCTTGAAAAAAAAATAGACAAGTGATATAATTAACAAATTTATAATGATTGTAACAGGGAACTACATTCGACTTTTGATTTTTCAATCACCACACACTGTAAACTTGCTTGCATTGCCTCCCACTGAAGTCCATAATGATTCTGACATTGACTTCAGTAAAGTCACCGTTTGATCCTCTAGAAGCTTATGGGTGCTTCCAGACAGAAGGTATGAAGAAACACAGGGGCAGGTACATGTGTGTTTGTTTGTGGGAGCAACAGGCAGGCCACACCTCTGTCTTGTATTCAAAGGCTATGTACTCAGCTAGATTCTTCAAATTCCATCAGGGCTTGGTGGAAAAAAAAAAAAAAAGACTTTGTTGGCAACTGAAGACATTATAAAATAAACCCTCCAAAATATGTACCAAAACTGGATTATTGCAATCAAAATTTCCATTTTCTGAAAATAGCCATCATGTACTAGTAGTTCAACAAAAAAAAATGTACATAATTACAATGAATATGTGTGAAGAGGGACTGAGAATGATCAGATGTAGGAGTATTTTCTGTGGACGATTGTCTGTGCTACTGCAGAAAAGCTCTGTCTGTCTTCATCATGGATACCCAGCTCTTTTTCTCAGAAATAAAATGGGCTATAGTAAAGTAGGAAAGTTTCCCAATTTTTGTTTATTTGCTTTTTTTTTTTTTTTTTTTTTTTTCAAATGACACAAGCCACAGGTTAAATTAAAATGCAAGAAGAGCATGCTGTAGAACAAAACAACACTGTTTCAAACTACAGCACTGTTAAACTACCAGACTCTACAGGCACATGATTTTTTTTTTTTTTCATTGTGCAAGCGAAAGCATTCCTGTTACAAGGGGAAATTAGTTATCAGAGCAAGATCATACAGCATAGTAGGGGAGCCCTGCTGTTACTTGCTGAAATAACGTCAGAACTGAAAGGAGGAGGTATTAAATGTAATTCCCTGCTGCTTGCTCTCTTAAGGCACAGGCAGCTCTCAACTGGAGGCCTGCTCGTTGCAATCAAAGTTTGCCCTAAGAGACCTTCTCCACCATAAAGCCATAAGCAGCTGTAGCAGTGAACTATAAAGCTCTTATTAAATTTAGGTACAATTCTGGAAGTCTTTGCAAGGGAGGATCCTCATTCTCTGCTCTATTACTTCTGAAGAGGGCCCTACAGAATTTCACAGCATCTCTGACAGAGTGAGGCTGGCAGGGACCTCTGGAGGCTGGCGCAGGGACACCCAGAGCAGGCTGTGTCCAGTTGGATGTTGAACATCTCTGAGGAGGAGATACTGCAGCCTCTGGGCAGCCTGTGCCAGTGCTTCCAGCACCACACAGCACAGGAGGGCTGCCTGGTGCTGAGGGCACCTACTGTGCTACACTTTGTGCCTGTGGCCTCTTGTCCAGACACTGGGCACCACTGAGAAGAGCCTGGCACCATCCTTTTTGCATTCTTCCTTCAGGTGTGTGTGTGTGTACTGCTAGTCAGTCGAGAGAAGGGATTGTCCTGCTCTGCTCTGTGCTGGTGCGGCCTCACCTCAACCACTGCATGCAGTTTTGGGCGCCACAGTATAAGAAAGACATAAAACTATCAGAGTGTCCAAAGAAGACTTAAGAAAATGAAGGGTGTAGAGGGCAAGACATATGAAGAGCAGCTGAGGTCCCTTGGTTTGTTCAGCCCAGAGCAGAGCAGGCTGAGGGGAAGCCTCATGGCGACCTGCAGCTCCCTCAGCGACAGGACCCGAGGGAACGGCATGGAGCTGGGACAGGGGAGGGTCGGGCTGGGGGTTAGGGAAAGGTTCTGCACCCAGAGGGTGGTCGGGCACTGGGACAGGCTCCCCAGGGACGTGGTCACAGCAACAAGCCTGATGGAGTTCAGGAAGTGTTTGCACAAGGCTCTCAGGGATGTGATATATATATATATATATATATATATGACTATCTCTGGTTGCTCCAGTCTCCGATTTTATTTTGCCACAATTCAATCCTGTATCGTGCTCTCCAAATCATCTCTTATCACCCTTACAAGCTCCTCCTTCACCTCTAATTAAACTTACCTCATGAATTCTTCCTCCCCTCCCCTCCTGCCTTTCTTCGGTCACCAGGGCACAGGGGCAACCCCGAGATGCCGCGTAGCCCCCTCTTCCCCTGTGGCGATGTTGCCACGGAAGAAGGATGCCCACAGCAGCGCACAGAGTTACTCTTGGGCTCCTGGCTGCTCCCCAGGCCCCCGCTATCAGTGCTGAGGTATCTCAAAGGCATGGGGAGCCTGCTGGGGCTGAGACCTGGGCAGCAGCTGCTGGCAGGCGGCAGGGCTCCTCCTGGCAACATGGGCACCCGGGGAGGAGCCCTGTGGCCCTGGCTGCTTGCCTTTACCTCCCAGGGAACCTCCTGAAGGTGCGGTCCCCCTCACAATGCCCGTAGGGCGTTTTGACAGAGCTTTCAGCAGCTCCTATTTATAGCTCGCCCGTCTTATTTTTAGTGCTGAGTAGAGGTTTCTGCAGCGGGAAAGGTTGGCAGGGTGCGTGCGGGGAGACTGAAAGAGCGAGCGACAAAACGTGTCAGCTCATCACATTAAATATTTAGAGCTGTGGTGCTGGGGCTGCTGACAAACATCATGCTCCTGCAGGCAAGCCTCTGTGGATGGTCTTGGGTGAAGAGCTGAAACAACCAGATCAGCAATGTTTACAGGCTGAGCAGCCCGCTTGGAAATGTGCATCCTGGCAGTGTTTCTCTGTGAAGGTGTTATAAAAAAATACGATTTCAGAAACTGTAATGCACTCCACACATTTGATGCTAAGGATGTGGTTGGATGGGCAAGGAGGCTGTAGGAAAGCAAATTTTTGTGTCATCAGAATGATACGCTACTACTTGGGATATGAATAATTGAAGTGTAAGTGCCAGTCATCAAAGTGCTTAGTTTTCAATATCCAGTCTTTAATATCTTAGAAAAAGGCATTATTGCAGGAGTTCATTATTTTTTTATTTTTTATTTTTTGAGAAAGTTTGTTCACCATGAAGGATATGTCCTCTCTTTCCTTGGTATGTTAAATTTACATTGAACTTAAAAGTAGCTGCATGTGCGTAATGAACCGACGGATAGCCAAGGGCACACACATTCCTCACCGGGGTCCATTATATGCATTAGGTGACCAAAGGATAAATTAGATATGTGAACGCTACTCAGATATTTTCTGCAGTTCTTCAAAAATGTACTTATCCAGATATTTGTGTCTCCTCCATTTCAGATTGTGTTATCTCCAGAAGAAACTGTTGAGGAATTGGTGCCACAGATAAACTGGAACTGAAGAACCTGCAGTGGAAGAATTACAGGCCACAGTATCATGCAGAGGTTTGAATACCATAGGTAGAGCAACTGCACAGGCTCATGTAATTTTGAATCAAACCCTTCAGAGGATTCATAGCAGGGATTAAATGTGGTGTTTTCAGAGTCCAGAACATTTCTTACCATATCACCTAAAGGAATATTTAATTAACTGCTTCTTATTGTATATGCTTACTCATTGTGCTGTAGCCACTGCAGATGAACATCTTTGTTCCAACTAGTGAGTTAAACCTGCTATAAAACAAGAGATGAGGAAGGACCCTGTGTGTAGCATACTGATCATTGGTGTTTATTATGTAAAGTTAAAGGGTTTTAAACATCAATAGCATGCTCTGGAAAATAGTATAAACTGCAGATGACAAGTTACAGCAGTGTCTTGCTCTAAGTTTTAAGTAGAATGTCACCGCTGTTTCAGAGTCATTTTGGTGACATCCCCTCTCTAAGGCTTTCTTGAGCCAAAGTGACATACAGGGCAAGAACATATACAGAATAAAGCAACAGCTCTACAGGAAGGAGCTTAAACTTTCAGCTTTAGAAAATTGTATTTAATATTTCCAGCAGCTTCAAAATAAAATATGCCCAGGTGGCAAGTAGAGGAGAAACTTCACCTCCCTTACAGTCTTCAGATTAAATCGGGCAACTGAACATTTTATCTGCTAGCTTCATGTCTTCTAGCAGGTAACTAGAGGTGACAAATGCTCTGAAAGGCAAGCTATGTTTTAAATTTCACTTAGGCAGTTAATTTGCAAACAAATAACTGACTAGTCCTTTAATTATCCCATGGTTCTGTTGGTGATAGACAAGAGCTATAGCTCATATTCCTTCAGTTATGTTGGTGCAGTAAGAATAACAAGAAACTTAAAAAAAAAAGAAAAAGTATTTTTGTTACTGAAGTCAGCACTAGCATCTCAGAATTCACACAGGGAACAGATGTGATAAGTAAGAAGATACCATTTATACACACTTGCTATTTGGGGTTGAACTGTGCTTAAGAGAAAGTTATGTAGATCCTAAGTCTGCAATCAAGAAAAGTTGCTCTTAATGTGCTGATACTTTTAGAACCCGGACAAGGCTTTTATGTCTTTTTAAACAACCACTTTTCTCCTATCAGTTGTTGTTTTGACTGAAGAAAAGGAAAAACAAAATGAGCACCTCATGAAGAAGATATAGAGCTATTTTGAAGAGCTTCCTTTACAAATGCTCCTCTTGGGATTCAGTCTCTCACATAACACAAATCTCTTGTCTGAACCATCCTTCTCCGTGAACAGGTAAGTTCTGAAGCTTTTATTGCCTTTTAATCTAATGGACAGGTTCCTAGCTTGTATTTAATTAACATATGTTATGCTGGCACTCTTGAAAAGAGGAAAAAAAAAAGGTTTATTGGAAGCAAATTGTTAAAACAAAGAAATTGAGAAGGTTGAAGACTAAGCAAGAGATGAAAGACATCAAAAAAAAATGCTGGTTATCCTCATAAAGACAGAAAAAGCTGGGTTTGCTTTTTTTTTTTTTCTCTTTTTTTTCTTTTTTTTTGTAGAAAAGCTACCTTTGCTTTCTTCAGACTTAGCTGCCATTTTTCATTCTGCCTGTGGTAAAGTTTTGCTTACAGTCCTAATCTTGTTCAATTCAGTAGCAAGATTTTCTGATGACCCTTTTCTGCAGGAGTAAGGAAATGATAATCTCAGTGGCTACGCAGAATCTACTTAGATATATTTCTAGGCAATATTAATCTGTTACCTGAAGAGAGAAATACAACTCTTTCGAAGGAATTTGGTTAAAGTTGTACTCAGAGTTTGGTTTTGCGAATGTAGTTTGAGATTAAGAAATTTTTAATTCCAATTCACAAGCCAGAATAAAAAGATTTGAACTTTGAACTTGATTATTGTGACATTTCAGTTATATTCTTATTTTCACTTTTTCTGATAAAATTCAATCAGGAGAAAACATGAAAAAGTAACAATAAATATCAGTTTTGTTCTGCAACCTTTACTCAAGTGAGTAATAGCACCAAGTTTGGGGTGACTGCTGCTGCTTTAGGACCATGGTAATGGGGAATTGCTCAGTTCTTAAAGATTTAACTATTTAGCAAAATACAAAGTTATATAAAAATTCAATGTTGTTGGACTTTTCAAGAGGCACAGCAACTAAACAAACAATTGAATGATCTAGCAGCAGCAGGAGACCTGCTAATGCAAATACTTAGTGGAGTGACTCATAAAAACAAGCCAAAAGAAAAACATTAACCAGCTTGCCCTTCCTCTTTCCCTTTTTCCCTCCCTCCTTCACTTCTCTCCACCTCTTCTATCTTAAAAGCACAAACAGATTAACACCAGGGAATTTTTCCCTACTTCCATGAGGTACACCCCAAAGGACTGGTAAGGGAGGCAAAAGCGAGATGCTAGTTCATCTTAAAACCTAAACCAATCTATAAAAGTCTCCCTCTTGCTGAATCACGGCAGGGAAAGAGGTCTGAGGAGCTTCTCTAGCTGCCTGACTACACTCTTTAGTCACTGTCTTTGTGTACAGGGCTAGTCCAACCATGGCTGACAATGTTGGAGTAAAACAAACGTCAAGACTTACACTGCAAATATAATTGTGCTGCAAAAACTCGTCAGAGGCTTTAGAAGCATAAATATTTATAACATAAATAATTGGAGGCTCCTAACCTTTTTCAATCTTAACGAATTTGTGGGATTTTCCTAGAAATTTCTGTTATCCTTTAGTCCTTTGCTTTCCTACCTGTGCATATTTTTAGTGAACATTATAAGCTGGGTATACTGTAATGTATTTGGATTTTTCTCTGCAGTTTTCTGTGGCATTACTACTGTAAAATTTCTTTCCAGGAAGCTGCAGTCACATGAGTTTAACTAACAGACCTCTTACATTGTGAAGTGATCACAGTAGCGAAGGATCCAATTTGAATCAATATGACATTCAATCTATTAGGTGAAGGTTACTTGCAGTACAGGAAATTAAAAATATTATTGTCTGTGGTTGCCACAAACAAATTTATCACTGAGGAAGGAGTCCATTTTCTTAAGGGGCTCTCTACAGCACAAGTTTTACTGCTCAAGAGAACAAACTAACTGCCAATGTTTAGACTACCCTGTGAACGTTAGTGGAGATTGTGCACCTTGCAAATTCAAACACACTGTAAAGACTGCAGATTATTTTTATAGTCTTTTATATTTGGTACAAACTACATACCATACAAAAATCTGTCTTCTCACTCATAACCAAACTAACCTGATTGGTACGTACAAATGTACTTACATCTGCTCATTTATCTCAAGTACATCTTAATGATGCAATTATAAATTACTCTTCTTGTTGCTGAAATTTTAAAAGTAATGTCTATCCTTTGTGTTTCTCATCTAATATATAAATAGCTTGATTTGATTCTTGGAAACCTTTAATTTCTGGCTGCAATAAAATAGTAGAGGAACATGTTTCTAAAATACATGTTTCCAACCACTGGAAGGAAGTGTATCTTACTAATATCTTTATCATTAATTTGCAGTAATGATCCAGAATTCAAATCAGCAGGAAGGATAAAAATATAGCAACAAGCCTTAAATAGCTTGTTGACAGAGAAGCTTTAGAAATAAATTTAGCCTCAGTCGCAGCTACAGTTACCATTTGCCACTCTTTTTCTACAGCATTGTACGCTGTGTTTACTATTTCAGTGTGCGTCTGCACATTGTCCCTCAAACCTTCATAGGAAACTACATGGCTAAATGCAACCCCATACGAGAAGGCAAGATTTGGGAGTTGGTGCAAGAAGTCTGTGCTCAACGCCCAGTTTCAGGGCACACTGTCATTCTCAGACTTTGTAAACAGGGCTGGTGGATTCCGAAGGTTGTGGATTCATGAAACTAATTAGGCATTACAGTTGTAAAGTACCTCAGCTTGGATGAACCCATCCACCAGCCATATTGAGCACTGCAGTAATTTAGTCTCTGCAGTGGCACTCAAGTAGAGATTATTTCTAGGGCCTGTGATGAGGTTACACTTGGAACGGGGGGATTAAAACCTTCACCTGGGACTCTTCTGAGTATCACTTTTCTACATTCTTTGCTGAATGTACATCTACACAGCTAAAGGAAGGATTAACACAGATTTAGTCTCTTTTAGAGAAAAGCAAGATCTAATACAGTTTTGCAGGTTGAGCTTCACCCTTTCCAAAAGGAAACCCAAGACTAGAGGTTTCCAAGCCATTCACGCTTAAAGAAAAAGTGACTAGCATAGATGCTGATGGATATCTGTGGGATGTAATCCATGGTATTGAGGGCAAATAAGATTATTGCTGTGATTTTTTAGTAATGTAATTGTTTCATTAACTTGTTTAAAAATAATTAGCAGAGTCTGTTTTATGAAATTTTCAAAAAATCTTCTGCTGGGTGCAGATGGGTGATCCCTGTTGAAGTTCAGGAATATCCACTGAAGTATTTAATTCTTATGACAATGGCACATTCCATGGCATTACTATGTCATGTGTTACCTTGGCTGTAACATTATGTTGCTTAAATCACTATGAAGCCCTCTTCTCTGTATTGTGCAAGAGACCTGGTGATTGCTTCCCAGCAATGATGAGAATGAGTTATGAGCCTCTCTGCCTTTTCCTAAAATAACAGGGAATGAATTTCATGTGGGCAAACACTTGACTCATTCTTCTTGGAACTGATAGCTTACCACACAGGACTTGGAGGCTGCTCAGTGAACCAGTCATGGTTCACAGGAAGAAGAAGCCTCCAGAGGAGCTCAGACACTCAAAGAATAACATTCCTGGCCAAAAATAACCCTGAGCACTGAAAACAAATTGAAAAAAAAAATATTGGTTTACTTGTAAATCTGTTGCAGCAACATGTACCTCCAGACATATCTGAGAGATGAATGGTACATCCATCTTTGTCTCTTCACTCTTCTGTTTTCAAGTAAAGCTTCTTTCCAACCAAGCCAATGCCATGTAAGTTATACATGGCTTATGACCATGGGTCACCTGAGCTATGTCAGCTGCTGTTAGTGAGGACAATGGTGCAAGATCTGAAGGTAAGAATGGCTGCCCTCGGACAATTGCAATGATACAATCACCTCCACAGAAGGACTGAGAAAAGCAGGAGAGCTTAGGGAATGCCAAAACTGAAACAAGGACAGTATGAGAGAGGGATAGTCCTGCATGCAGTGCTATACAGTGAGGATGGGCAGGCTGCATGTGAGGCATATCCCAGTTGAGCATGGAAGCTACTAGATTGTTCTAGTAGCATAGTGGGCTGCAGTGCAATGCAGCCTGTTGCACTGGGAGTTTCAGCACCGTTTTTTTATGGATGTGTGTGAATGTGGGTGTGGAGGTGAGGTGAACACCCACACTATAAGCGGCATATCTCCTCCATGCTCATGCACTTTGGTGAACTGGAGATCTCTTTTTCTCCCATAGCTTCCTCAACTGCTATCTCCTATAGTTCTGTAGTTGACTGTGGGGAAAGTTATGGCCAAATGTGCACCATATTTTTGGACCTCTGTGTTTTGTCTTGACTGACAAGCCTTCAGCAGACTTGTTGGCACAAAATAGGAAATGGCTCACTGACAGCAGAAGGAATATGTCCTTCTTGGAGATATGAAGCCTTCCTTGGATGAAGGAGCTGCTGTGTACTGCCAGCTAGCATTCTTGCTGATTGTTAAGTTTCCAAATTAAAAAATGATTTAACTCTACATGAGACAATATGTGCTATGAGAGGATGATGTGGTGTGGGTCTTTATTGAACAGATAGGGAATCCTAACCATTCACCTTTTTCTTTTCTTCTAATTTTCTTCCCTTGTCCCTTGCAACCATTCCTCTCTGGCACCGATAAAACATTCTTTCCTCCCTCACAATTTTAAATAGGGAGGTAACGAAAGTGATCAGCCTGACAAGAGTAAGGGGAAGGGGCTGGAAATGTTTGGTGGTAGTGGGAAATAAAGGAGAAGAACTGATCATTCCTCAAAGTCATTCCTTTGCTTCTGAAAATATGTAGTCCCGGTACTGATGCCACAGAAAGAATAATCTTTCCCGGTGCTGAGAAAATGTTGGGAATGCCTGCTCCAAAAAGCACACTTAGCATCCTTGTCTGTATGCTGACACATCAGCCTTCATTCCAGAGATGGCATGGGTCTCAAAGGAAAGAATAGCATTTTTATTCCAGAATATTAGTGGCCTGAGGCTAATCTCTGAACTGTCTACAGCTGAAGCTCTTCTGCACTGGGAAATGGCATTCATGTTGGAACAGGAATGCA